TTTTAGCGACCTATCTGTTCTATTTCTATTCAACTGTTTTCTATATAAATGCGCCGTCCTGCCAACAGTTTAAAGACAACAGACGCGAATACACTAGGAGAAATATTTATCCCACTTTGATCTCGGTCAAAGTGGGATGATCTATTTGAAAATTGGGCGTTAGAAGAAGAGAAAAAAAATCCCGGCGTCGAAAATCGAGGAAGGGACGGACACAATGAGAGATGGAAACTGATTTGACCCGGTTTCGGTTTTACCATTCTCTCCACCCTAGTGTCAATTACTTGGTGCGCACAGTTCCGCTTTGACATAGAAACATGGAAGTCTACGGCAACTTTATATTTTTTTAAAAAGCCAATTAGTAAATAATTGATTTTTGACTTCTTGCATATATATTGTAAAATTGTTGATGACAATTAATTCTGAGCTTCCAGGCTATATCAGTTAAATCAATGGCATATTTGCTAAAATTTAGGTTAAATATTTTTTTTGGATAATTTAAAAGAAAAAAGTTCAGAATTCATTATACCATCTATGATGAAATTTAAAATAAGTAGCTAACTTTAGTGCTTAGTTCAGACCATACTACAATATATTTCAATTTTAAAATATTCTTTTCTCGAATTTTGTGTTGTTTTTGTTTTATTGGCTTTTGATTGGAAACCATAGGATCGTTTTTAAACGATAAGCCTGTTTGGATTTATAAAATATTCATTTATATTGGCACACTGCCCTTGATTTTGAACAGGGCTTCGTGGCTGCCCACTCTCGATTTTTTTTGCATTGTAAATATTTTTATTCTTATTACGACGTTGGAGATTTTATTACGCCTTCGCCCTCGAAGTTTATGATTTGCCCTGAGAACGTCTACTTTCGATTGTCTATGTAAGGAGATCTGGAATGCCATGCAGAGGATTGGAGTTTTAGGAATTGAAGGCTATTTATTAGGAAAATACAGGGTGAATTGATCAGTTTTTATTGGTATCATAAATTTTTATAGATTTTTCCCCCTGAGTGTATTTCATGATTAAATCCTTATTTGATGGGGGGGGGGTTGTAATTTTGAAACTGAATTGATATTTTTCTGGTTGGGTATAGAACTTATGAACAAAAGAAAACTATATTCTTGGGGTGGTTTTCCCTTTAATTGAATTGAAACTGCAAAAAAAAAAAAAAAAAAAAAAAATTCGTTGTAAATTTTTTTTTCATTTACAAGTTGGTTTTTATTTAATACAATCTCTGTTCAACGTTGTGACTATCGCGCTTATAAATACGGAAGTTTACCTTACACCGGGGTCGAAAATAAATTCCGAGTTCGGAGCCGCAAAATTGTTTGGCCCCTCTTCAAAATTCCAAACGCGAAGAAATTCCATGGAAAATTGTAAGTAAAATTGGAACGCCCTTTGGCCCCGGGCCAGCTTCTGCCCTCGGCCCCTTGGCAAACTTGTTGACCACGGGAGTGTACGAGATGGTTTTAAATTATAATCTGGGGGCAATCATCGCCCGAAGGCTGCTCGGCGGTACAGCATGACATTTATTTCTAAGAGGATTCTTGGCTCTCGCCGTGGACAAGGACGGGAGAAAATATTCGAGGAAAATTGTGGAACCGTTAACCAAACGACCCTGATTTAGTCACCGGTAGATTTCCTTTTCTCCCACAGATACATAACAAACTAGATCTTAGGGTTTTCATTAAAAAATAAAAAACTATATAATTTTTTTCTCATCCGTACTTGTATCAAGTTCATAATCGCGAATCCAGAAATATGAAAATACGCTACAAGCACTTGGCTGCAAAAAATTGGTTTTATCCCTTATCCATAAGTTGGATAAAGTTAACCCCATGTGCTCTTTTGGACAATAAAAGCATTCTGATCGTGTAATTTTTTCCATAGTTTTCATTTGTGTAGTTTGTCCATAGTTTTGGCACTTCTCGGTAGAAACTCTTCTGGATTGTGAACTGTTTTAATAAAGTAGTACATAAGTTTGATAATTCTCGAATCTAGATACTTTTTGTTTTTAAACAATTCAAGTGCAATTTTCTCACTTGTCCATAAGTTTGATACTTTTTTCCATAAAAACTTCTAGATTTTAGAAAATTTTAATCAAATAGTACAGAAGTTTGATAATTTTCGCATCTAGATACTTTTGGTTTGTAAACAATTGCAATATTTTCTCACTTGTCCATAAGTTTGATATTTTTTCTCCATAAAAACTGAATGATTCATGATTTTTAAACAATTCTACAGGAATTCTACCAATTGAATAATTCATGATTTTAAACAATTCCACCGGAATTCTTCCAACTAAATAATTCATGATTTTAAACAATTCTTCCCTTGTAATTTTCGATTACTCCGTAAGTTTGATACTTCCACCCATTAGAAACTTCTGGATTTTAAACAATTCTACCGGAATTCTTCCAACTAAATAATTCATGATTTTAAACAATTCTACCCTTGTAATTTTTGATTTCTCCGTAAGTTTGATACTTCCACCCATTAGAAACTTCTGGATTTTAAACAATTCTACAGGAATTCTTCCAAGTAAATAATTCATGATTTTAAACAATTCTTCCCTTGTAATTTTCGATTTCTCCGTAAGTTTGATACTTCCACCCATTAAAAACTTCTGGATTTTAAACAATTCTACAGGAATTCTTCCAACTAAATAATTCATAATTCTAAACAATTCTTCCCTTGTAATTTTCGATTTCTCCGTAAGTTTGATACTTCAACCCATTAAAAATTTCTGGATTTTAAACAATTCTACCTGTGTACATTTTATTCTTGTATTAGGATCAATCTATTCAATTTATTTTCTAGCCAATTGTTTTTGTATGGTTTATTTACAAAGTGTGTATCTATTCCCATTAATAGATCATATAATAGTAGAACTCCAGGCAGTAAGCTCTCCTGGTTACTCGTAGAAAACTAAACTTTTTATTTATTTTTTTGCAAACATTAACTTTTTATTCGGTCATTCTGATCGATTTATTTATCCCGTGGCGTTTTTGAGTTGGCCATAAGTAGGACAGTCTTAAGTAAATCAACTTTAATCATTCAAGAAGTTTTCAATAATGTATAAAGTTATCGTCGTGGTTTTTTAAAGTACGCCTTAGATTGCTAATCAACTACGAGCTTGATTTCTACTGCTAATTATTTTTATTTTTATTAGTCGATTGTGATTGTACTTTATTTCTCAAAAGCCTAATTACGCACCGTCGTGCCATCGTTAAAAATAGTAGTACACGGGAAATGCAACGACCACACTGGCCGTCCTCCAAACCTGTGCGGATTAATGTTTACAAACATTTATATGTTTATTACGGACGGCGTTGATATATTGTATACGTGTTATAAGAAAACTGTTCCGTAAACAATCCGAAAAATAAACCTGGCCCCCAATACTATTTACGAAACGGTCTGGCTCCTGGGCAATTCCAAAGATTCGCTTTTACGTCCTCAATTATTAAAGGTATAAAGTAATATTTTCCCTTGATCTTTTTCTATATAGATATTTTTCGAGTTGAATTGTCTTTTGTAAAGAGAAACAATCGTGCTGTTTCACCCTCATGACCCGAGAAAAATTGATTGAACCATTGTCTTTGGCATAAACGGGGTAAGACCAGTAAGCTGTGGGTGGGATGTGCTGATGCTCCTTCCCAGGGAATTGGAAATTTTATTAGACACTTTACCTTTGAGGAAAGCTAATATATTCTTTATTGACAATTTTCATATTACATTCAACCACAAACGTTATTGATTCATATTTAAAAGGGGGGAAAAAATCAATGATATATATTGTGCCACTAAATATGGAAGAACTTCCATTACATGTTTCAATTATGAAATGATAGTAAAAAAATATATAATTTTTTATATCCAATAAGATTAAATAAAATAACAGATTGTCTGAGGTTTTACCGTATTTAAAAAATAAAATCTAATTTTTATTGATATATTTGTGCCATTAATTATGGAACTTCCATCGTATTTTTGATTATGAAAAGATAGTAAAAAAGTCATAATTTTTTATATCCAACAAGATTAAATTAAATAACTGATGGTCTGAGCTTTTACCATATCTAAAATATACGTTCTTATATTTATTGATATATTTGGGCCATTAAATAAGGAACTTCTATCGCATTTTTGATTATGAAAAGATAGTAAAAAAGTCATAATTTTTTATATCCAACAAGATTAAATAAAATAACTAACTGATGGTCTGAGCTTTTATACATTTAAAATGTACAATCTAATTTTTATTGATATATTTGGGCCATTAAATGAGGAACTTCCATCGCATTTTTGATTATGAAAAGATAGTAAAAAAAGTCATAATTTTTTATATCCAACTAGATTAAATAAAATAACTGATGGTCTGAGCTTTTATACATTTAAAATATACAATCTAATTTTTATTGATATATTTGGGCCATTAAATATGGAACTTCTAATATCTAGATGTGAATGGTTTATATGTTTTTGTGTCCAGTCCTGCTGCCTGCAGGGTAGCTAGTTTGTCAAGTCATACATAACATGCATAATATGAGAGCAAACCCCCCCCCACAAAAAAAAAATTAAAAAAATGAAAAAATTAAAAATAAATAAATAAAAAATATGGCACTTTCCGTTGGCCATTTCAATTATGAAATGATAGTAAAAAAGCCATAATTTTTATATCCAGTAAGATTATCAATAGTGTATGAGCTTTTACGCATTTAAAATTACAATCTAGCTTTCTGAAAAAATATTGGTTCCGCATAACCATTGGCTGTATGAGTTGCTCGAACATTTAAAGACTATAAGACTTATTTTACGATTAATCTAACAAATACTTCATAAAATTAATAACAAGATAAGAAAGAATATTTAAGAATTTCTAATAAATATATAAATAAGTTATTTATCAGTTTGAGTATATAATAAATAAGATTTAATATTTTTCACTGTTTTGTCGTCATCAGGTTTCTTGAAAGGTTGATTTTTCTGTTTCAGGTGTGTCGGGCAAAATGGCCGAGGTAGACCCAGAAACACTTCTTGAATGGCTCAATATGGGCCAGGGAGATGAACGGGATATGCAGCTCATTGCTCTCGAGCAACTCTGCATGCTCCTTTTAATGTCAGACAATGTTGACAGGTGTTTCGAGAAGTAAGTTGCGTAACTTTACAGACTGGAATGAGATTTGTTGATGGATCGATTTGTTTTTTGTAGCTGTCCACCACGGTCATTCCTGCCTGCACTCTGTCGAATATTCCTTGATGAATGCGCCCCGGATAGCGTTTTGGAAGTTACTGCACGTGCCATCACGTATTATCTGGACGTCAGCGCCGAATGCACTCGCCGAATTGTGGCGATGGACGGAGCCGTCAAAGCGATTTGCAACAGGCTTGTCGTCACAGAAATGGCATCGCGTACAAGCAAAGACCTTGCAGAACAATGCATCAAAGTATGTCATCAATTTAACAAAAAAATGTTTTGTTGTGTATTCAATGTCTTGTTTTTCGTTCAGGTGTTGGAGCTGATTTGTACCCGTGAAGCCGGTGCAGTTTTCGAAGCTGGGGGTCTAAACTGTGTGCTTTCTCTGATCTCCGAGCACGGGGTTCACGTGCACAAAGACACGCTCCACTCAGCGATGACAGTCGTGTCAAGGCTGTGCACAAAAATGGAACCTGCCGATCCAAACTTGGCCACATGTGTAGAAGCCCTTTCCACACTTTTGACACACGACGATCCTCATGTTGCAGACGGTGCACTTCGATGCTTTGCTTCACTTTCAGACAGATTCACAAGGAGAGGCGTCGATCCAGCACCGCTTGCTGAGCATGGGCTTGTACGGGAACTTTTAACTCGACTGTCTAACGCAGCAGGGCCTGCACCATCGGCCTCCGCACCATCTGGTAACTATCAATAAATGTTTCAATAAATTCAACTTTTTATATACGCATATTTTTTTAATTAACAGGCAATCAAGGGCCAGCTGCGAGTTCAGCTACACCAGAAACAAAATCTTCTGCAAGTGTTTCCACCATAATAAGCCTTCTTTCAACCCTTTGTCGTGGATCACCCAGCATCACTCATGTAAGATTTAAAATAAATATTTGTAGTTAGTGACTATAATTTGTAATATATTTTGCTTTTTAGGATTTGCTACGTTCAGAGTTACCAGATGCAATAGAAAAAGCATTAAAGGGAGATGAAAGGTGATTTTCATTCTTTACTTTGTTTAATGAGGATTAAATATCCTGGTTCGTTTATATATAATTGTTTTTATTTTATTTCCTGTAGATGCTGTTTAGATACAATGCGTCTTGTGGACCTTCTTCTAGTCCTGCTTTTTGAAGGACGGAAAGCACTGAGTCCGGGTGGAGCGTCTGTCCATTCACTTCCTAGGCTTAGAAGGATGGATTCTGCAGGAGAAAGATCACACAGGCAGCTGATCGATTGTATACGGAGCAAGGACACCGACGCACTCATAGACGCTATCGAAAATGGCGGTATTGAAGTCAATTTCATGGATGATGTCGGCCAGACTCTTCTCAACTGGGCCTCAGCATTCGGAACTCAAGAAATGGTCGAATTTCTATGTGAGAGAGGCGCTGATGTTAACAAAGGTATGTGTTTAATATTTTAATCTTTGAATAGATTGTATCATCGTTTGCGATTATAGGACAAAGATCTTCGTCACTTCACTACGCAGCTTGTTTCGGTCGTCCTGCAATCGCGAAAGTCTTGTTACAACACGGGGCCAACCCTGATCTCAGAGATGAAGATGGAAAAACACCTTTGGATAAAGCGAGAGAACGAGTAGACATCGGACACAGAGAGGTTCAAGCTATTCTCCAGTCACCAGGTAAAACATTTATTATTTATTCATCTTTTTATTTAAATCACTAATTTTAATATTGTATTTTAGGCGAGTGGATGATGGCAGTAGACAACAGGGGAGAGAACGATGAACCGAGAGGTGATCCAGACATGGCGCCTGTTTATTTACGCAGGCTCCTTCCTGTTCTTTGCAACACATTCCAGGCCACAATGTTACCATCTGTTAGGTAAATAAATTCCTTTTCAAACGACATCATACTGATTTTTAAATATTTAATTTTATTTTTAGGAAATCAAGTCTTAACCTAATTAAAAAAATGGTCCACTACATTCATACCTCACTACTCATCGAAGCTTGCAGCCCAGAATCGTCGACATACAACCTTGGCACCATGCTTGTTGAAGTTATCGCTACTGTCCTCGACAATGAAGTAAGGAGCTTTAATTATGTATTAATATAAAAAAAAAAAAACTTTAAAAGCACAATAAAGAATGGCCATCCCCCTCTTAAATTATGGCTGACAAGTCAAAAATAAAATTTCGGATTACAAAAAAAAGTAATCCGAAGTTTTAAGCTTAACCAAACCTTATAATTTGAACAATTAATTTATTTGAAAAAGGGTATAAAGTGTGCTCTGTTCTTTATTCATATTAAACAATCTCACCAAAACACTTAAGTGTGTTAAATAAGAAAAAAAAATTAACCAGAAATTCGCTGAAAAATGCAATGCTCTCTAGAGAGTGAAATACTTTTCCAGAGCTCTTACAGCTGGCCAATCATAAAGCCTCTTTCTGAGCGGTTCTCATGGTTGCCAAAGTTATGCCGTAATCTGACCGGAGGGGTTGCTCCTGACTCAAACAATGATGACAAGTACATTGTTCGTAGAACAACGGTAAAATCAAGTGAAAATCATCTCATAGATCGCACTTGTTCTTTACTAATTTCTATGTACTAATATGCAATTGCAAGATACTGTTTGTAAATATTGTATTTGTGTAGAAGAGTGGAATGAAATTGAAATAGTTCTTAGTTCAATTTTTTTTTTTTTAATAGAAATTTTCATAAATATTACACATTACTGAACAATCTCAATTACAAAATTCTCTTTTTTTGTTTATTAAAATAAACATTCTGTAACAGATAGCAGTACTATTTCACTTTATGATTTTTTTTCTATATAGAAAAATAGATGGTTTAGAAATTTGATTTATCTGTTAAATTAAAACATTAAATACACAATTATGAACAAGTGGAGCTATGAGAAATGAAAATAAGAACTCCCAGTTAATTTATTTGGTGTGATTTGTGATGCAATTAACAAGTGTGCTGTGGAGCGTTTTGTCATTTCATGCGCTTCCCTCTTTAGAGCCCTCAGTGAAATACACATACAAGGTATATGCGTGGATCAGAGCACGCTTTATGCTTCAGAAGAATATTATTTTTCATTTTTGTTTGTTTGTTTTTTTAAAATTTTTTTCAACCAGTTAACAGTTACAATTGCATGTCTGAGCTGCATGGCCAAACTGCATCTTATTAAAGTATTATTCTAACAAAACATTTTCCCTTTATAATGAACTGAAAGTTTTTAGTGATGACCCCCATTTCTTTAAAATCATTAATTTTTTTGTTTTAAACGTAAGGATAATTTATTTAAAAAATTGTGAGAAACAATTGGATTTATTCTAGGTGCACTATCATCAGTGAATATTGATTTCCTAATTCAACTGCAGACAGTTTACTATTTTAAAAGGAAGTGTCTTTTATTTTAATTTTTTTAGGGCGTTTTTAATTTTTCATGACATTTTTCAGTAAAATAAAAGATAATTCCTGTCATATAAGCGAGCTTAATGCCCTACTAGCTGTTGGGTATCGTGGACTATTTTTCATTTTTTTGTTTTGCCAAATTATGCTGGGATTTGGACACATAATTGCCAGCGTGGCAAATAAGGGTCGGACGCTCTGACCTAGTTTTCCCTTTGCCACTTTTAAAAATCATACTGTTGTTTTGTTTAATTTTTTGACTGGCGTTTCGTTTTTGGTGGCTTTCCTTGAAATTGAAGCATTCTTCTCAATTGTTAAAGTTTTTTATTATTCGTGAAATAACCAGGAGATTGTCGTGTCATCCACAAGGAATTTCTAAAGGGCGATTCGCTCAACTGGATAACTTTTGAAAACGAACTTATTTATATTTTTTTAGAATATAAAATGTACAAAGACAAAGGAAAAAATTAATTATAAACTGGGCAACTTTTTAGATAAAACTTGTGCTTCGATTGTCTAAAAAATAATCAAAAACAATTTTAACCTGTCCAAAAATTCTGAGCTGCTATCTTTGAAATTAAAGCATTTTTGCTCCATTGTTAAGGATTTTTCTTATTTATGGAATATCGAGGAGATTGTCACGTCATCCACAAGGAATTTCCAAAGGGCAATTTGCTCAACTGGATAACTTTTGAAAATGAACTTATTTATATTTTTTTAGAATATAAAACGTATAAAGGGAAAGGAAAAAATTAATTATAAACTTTAGATAAAACTTGTGCTTCATCAATAGTTCAAAAAATAGCCAAAAAATTTTAGCCTGTCCAAAAGTTCTGAGCTGTCTTTGAAAGTGAAGCATTTCTTCTCCATTTTTAAGTATTTTTCTTATTTATGGAATATCCAGGAGATTGTCACATCATCCACACAGAATTTTCAAAATGGGATTCGACTGGAAACTTTTGAAAACTTGTTTATATTTGTTTTTAATATAAAACATAATAAATACAAAAGGAAAAAAAAATATTTAAAAACTGGGCAACTTTTTAGATAAAATCACGATACAAAAATTGTCACACAAAAACTGTTTATTCGGTCAAAACGCTCTGAACTGTCTTTTGAAAGTGAAGCATTTCTGCTGCATTTTTAAGTATTTTTCTTATTTATGGAATACTCAGGAGATTGTCGCGTTATCCACATGGAATTTTCAAAATTGGATTTGACTGCATAACTTTTGAAAATACACTTGTTTATATTTGTTTTGAATATAAAACATAATAAATACAAAAGGGAAAGAATTCATTATAAACTGGGCATTTTTTTTAGATAAAATCACGATACAAAAATTGTCACACAAAAAAATGTTTATTCAGTCCAAAAGCTCTGAGATATCTTCGAAAGTGAAGCATTCTGCTCCATTGTTAAGTTTTTTTCTTATTTATGGAATATCGAGGAGATTGTCGCATCATCCACAAGGAATTTCCAAAAGGTGATTCGTTCAACTGGATAACTTTTGAAAATAAACTTGTCTATATTTTTTTTCTGTAATATAAAACATAATAAAGACAAAAGGGAAAAATTAATTGGGCAACTTAATTGATAAAAACTCTCTCTTCAAAAATGGTCATAAATTGTTTATCCAGTCCAAAAGCTCTTCGCTGCCTTTGAAGAGTCGAGAAGCATTCTACTCCACTGTTAAGGTTTTTCTTATTTGTGAATAATATCCAGGTGACTGATTATTGTTATGTCATCCTTCAGGAAATTTTCCGTCAGGAATTTTCAAAAGGCGATTAGCTGAACTGGATAACTTTTCAAAATGAACATATTTGCATTTTTTTTTTTTTTAGAAGATAACAATAAATTATACAACTTTTATCATACAAAAATGGAAAATCAATTCTAAATTTTTGTAGGCAAAACTTGTGCTTCATATTCGTATATTTTCTCTGCCTCATGGAATAATATTAAACCATGGATATACCTAATCCATCTCTATCCTTGCCTGGCTGTTCTTAACCTAGTCTAATCCACTCCCAGATGATTAAAAAATGTGGTCAGAACAGAAGTCCTAAGCTGATGTTGGAAGTGAACCAGTCTGCTCCACTATCAAATGGTTTTTCATTATTTTGTCATCCGCATGTAATTTTCAAAAAACAATTGAATCAACTGGATAACTTTTTAAAATGAACTTTTTTTTAAAGAAGAAAACACAATAAAATGAACAACTTTTATACTTTTATCATACAAAAATGGAAAATCAATAAATAAATTCTAAATGGGCATTTTTGTAGACAAAACTCACGCTTATATTTTATCCAATACATGGAACAACATTAAATCATGGATGTACCTCATCTCGAATCCTAGCATAACCATTTTTAACATCACCGAACACATAAATACAAAAAAAAAGTATCCAGACCAAAAACATATTTATGTTAAAAATTATGAAGGATTAGGATTTACCCCTGCTATGTTCAGCTCCAAATAAGAAAGCTCTTCTTATGGCAATTTATTTTTTTGTAAAGATAGTTCTACTTACAGAATTTTGCAAAAAAAAAAAAAAAAAGCTCTTATTAATTAATTTCCTATGCTTGTCCATTTTGGTTGCTCACAACGGTACCCAATTTATCCCGTAAAATAGCTCTTGTAGTTCAGAATAATTTAAAAAAAAAATTGTATGACGCAAGAGTTGCGTCCCACAAAAATCAGGGATGGAAAGTTTGAACAATTTTGGTGCGTACTTGTCTTAAGAGTCATTTCTACTTTCTATAATAATTTGAGTAAATAATGAAATAACATAATGTAATGTAATAAAATATAACATAATGTTAATATAGCATATATTGCTTCTCACGCGTTAATAAAAAATAGAAATAAAAATTATTTTAAAATTAAATTCCATCACTAATTCTTGTCAGTAGTGCCAAGCTTGTCAAGCATATCTTAATTAAATTGGTTGAAGTTATGTGGCGTGGTCAAAATGAAATATTTTAGAAAAACACCTTCAGGTCATCTATTTACTCCTATATTATATTTTTTCCCAATCAACATATGTTTTGTAATCCACCCAGGCCCTGAAGATGACCCAAATAAAGGTCAAAACGTTAGTAAAAAGTTTTTCTAAAATATTTCTCTCTCGGCCACTCCTCACAACTTCAAGAAATTATTAAACAACCAGTCTCTAAAAACACATATCTAATTAAATTTCAAAAATCATATTTAACAATTCGATAAACTGCTTTTTGGTTTAAAGATTTAAATGTTTAAACTATCTTTGATAGTATGGTTCATCCCTGACACTGGAATTACCTAGAGGTTCACCCCCAATCTTGAAGTGCAGCGTTGCTAACTCAGAAATAAACCTTGCAAGTTATCCATTACTAAAATAATTTGTAACTGCGCTAATTGCTTACGAAACAAGAAAGTAAAATTGACTTTTCTCAGAGTGGAGTACAAAATTTTATTTTTAATTTACCTAATACATGTTTGAAAAGAGTAAGCGGTTCAACATTTTGTGCAGAAAATAACGAATTAGAGATCGTTGGGCAGATTATTTGTAAATTTAAACCACATGTCAGGACTGATGAAGGTGTGACCATTTTTGGAAGGCAGTAGTCCGGGAGTTTTATAAAATATAATTGAAACAGAGTTTTAGTATAAACAAATACAACTGATCTAATTTAATCCATAGGTAGATGTAGTTAGGAGTTGTTTTAGGCTGAAAAATCATTTTATTATAAAGAAGCCCAGATTTTTTTCCAGTTACTCAAAGTTTTCATAGCAGAAAATTTGAAGCATAATAGAGAATTGAGCTGTTATTCAATATTTCATTAGTGTATTAATATGTTGCTGAAGAAGAATCTGGTCAAAGTTTCGAAAGCACTATGTACACAAAAAATAAATAAATAAATAAATACAAAATAAAAAAATAAATGTAAGAATTCTCAAGTTAGAACCCTATACTAGATAGATAATGAAATTCATTTATTACTGATATTTTCAACTAATGCCATGCTTTTATAATTTGTTAACATTTTAACTCCCTTTTTTGGATGTTGATTGTTGTTCGTTAATCAAGATTTTTATACAATTTTTGTTTTCTTTCTCCCAAGGATGATGAAGATGGCCATTTAGTCGTATTGCAAATAATCGAAGATTTGATGACAAAGGCTCGTGATATATTCCTAGATCATTTTGCAAGGCTCGGCGTATTCTGCAAAGTGGCCCAACTTGCATCCGTTACCTCGTCGACTCCTGAACTGCAGAGCAAGCCTCAAGAAAACGTAAGTTGTTTCCTGTTTACAATTATCTATTATAAATTTAACAAAAAAAAAATCAACCCCTCAAAAAAGAGATGGCAAAAGTCCAATTCACTTATGTGCGCTTTGAAATGCTGATCTATCCAGGAGAGTGATAATAATACTGGTAGTGATGATGCTAAAGAGGTGTTGCCGGGGAAAGCATACCACTGGAAGGATTGGTGTATATGTAGGGGTAGAGATTGCCTTTACATTTGGTCCGATGCAGCTGCTTTGGAGCTCTCCAACGGCTCCAACGGTTGGTTCAGGTTCATCCTGGACGGAAAGCTGGCCACCATGTATTCGTCTGGCAGCCCTGAAGGTGGCACCGATTCTACCGGTAAAAACATAAAATATTACTGAACAAAAGTTTTAATGAGACACATTTTTTTCCAATTTTTTTTTCTTTTAATATGTATAATCTGTTTTGGCATTACTTCCTTTAACTTCATTATAACAGGTTTTGATTTCCATTTTTCTTTTTTACTTCTAACTGTAAATTTATAAAAATGACAAGGACAAAGTGTATTGACTTTTTTTCACAGTTTTATAGATTTTTTATTTATTTAATAGAAACTAATTTGATTTTATTACAAGTTTAATATTACCATTTTTTCTTTGTTACTGTCAAATTGACCCTAAAACTAGCTTAACCACCCCCTACCATCGTTTAATTTCATGAAAACTCCCTCCGGCATGTCCTAAATTCTCATCAAGTAGTTGATCATGATTGACTTGCGTGACTAATGTTCATTGTTTGCCCCTGTTAGGGAAAACCAGGAACAGCGAGTCACTTACTACTGAAGGTAAGCCACAGCTTATCCCGTATAATATGTTAAGAGACGTGTCATTAACTACCATTTACTAGTTATTCATTTTTTTCATTTAATACCATCCAATTTTTGTTTCTTCCATTGTACTTTAAAAAGTTAGTTTTATCTATTTTTCTATTTAAACAAATTTATCTTAGTTCTTTTAATAGGTTTTCAAGAAATTTGTGCTTATATTATTTATTGGGTGAGGAAAAGCAAAAGTGTTTCAAAAAGTTCATTCTTTCAATCATAAAAATAAACCCCATCATACTCAATAATCAATTGCAAAAAACAGTCAATTTCCAGGCACCATTTCATAAATTTTAATTTAAAAACTACTTGACATTTTATATATTTTATTGTAAAAAATATTATTTCCTAAAGGAAGTGCTCAAAAAAGGTGGTCTGAAGAGCAAGGTCAGGACCATTGTGGCGGGGAGATGGAACTTGATTCCATCGAACCCAGAAAGTTTTTTTTGAAACAAAACTTTTCTCTTATTTGCCCAAATTTTGTTAGACTTGAGTTCCAGTTCTAAATAGAGCTCAGTTTTGACCTTAAGGCTTAAACTCCTATAAAAAAATCCTAAAGCTAAGTTTCCAATGTGCAAAAAAAATCACTCGCGAAATGCCACCTCGGGTTAACCATTTCCATGAGGTGAGCCATCAGTTTGCACGGGACAAGCATGTCGTTTATAAGTACATCAACTCCTGCCAACAGCGTTTTCTATTATGGCGATACTTTTTGTTGTACTATTTTGATGCTCATTTCCTTCCATGCACCTCTCTCTTATTCTTGTTACGATGAATTTTATCTTTAGCATCCCACAAAAATCAGTAGCTGTGATACATTCGGATAAGTCGAATGCAGTCTTGGTACATTATCATACTCGAGGCAAGTGCGTTTACACGGAGAGAAACAAACAACACAAAACAATTTGATGCGCACTAAAGGACAGATTGCCAATCGGCTTGGCGTGCCTAAAATTTCGCAGTCCCGGCTGGCTATTCACAGTGCAAAGTTTCGTGAGATAGTTGTGCAGGTGATTTTCATCAGAGGAAACCCAGCTTTAGAGCATAATCTTGTTTTTACAATGATTTTGCTTTGCGTTTACTAAATGGGCACCGATGCTCTATGCACTTACTGCTAAGCACCTTACTGCTGTGCTTAATTACTTTTTGTGTTTGGCAAGTCAGCCACAACTCTAGGATAACTCTATTCACTTACTCTAAATGGCGCTGACCAAAACCAGCTTCTTTACCATTTAGCATCTTCCAGCATCTTCTTGTAGCTTCCTGGGTCCTCGACAATCGACTATTCAACTTGTCTTGGCTCTTGTTGGCTGTCCTCTTGTTGAGTGTCAGATGGATTGTGACAGCTTACTGCTTTTAACTGAGTCTTTGACCGGACTGGGATGGAACTTGATTTTAATGCATCCTCGAGTTAACTGACTTTGCTTTCCAAATCATCCTCTTTTATATCAATTTCACAACCAGAGCAGAAGAGGAAAGGAAAAGCAAAAACTGTTGCCCAGGTGGTCAACTTCCTTCATGCAAGGTTTGACCATGTCAAGAGTTTCCGTTTCGCAACCTCCTGGTTAGTCGATGGACATCCAGCAAAGTTCGCCTATGAGGTTCATGTGGCCCCAAATTTATAGTGTCTCAGCTGGATGAACTATGTCCGTGACAACCTTCCTAGATTACTCGTCTATTGCATTCCTAGACTTCTAGATTAGATCCTCCTTACAACTATTTTAAATTCACTAGTTTCGTGGTCCGCTTGACCAATTAATATATTTCAATTAATTAAGGTTTTTAGTTGAGATAAAAAAGTCAGGGTCATGAGCAGGATTCGAACCCACAACCTTCGGCTAGATACGCCGCTGCTCTATCACTTGAGCTGTCATGACCTCGTGACTATTTTTAAATTATTTTAACTATTTCTACTTACGCTAATAACTGGATTGGCTTGCAGTACCTTGACCAGCCCTGATCAAATTTTCTTAAAAAGTGTGGGTGAGAAAAGAAAGGTCAGAACGATCTACAGGTTCTTAATTGATGGGTGTTTTTTAAGTATGAGCAGACACATTTTCAAGCAATTTTTAGCCCAACTCACATGGAATTTGCCTGCATTCCCTTTTCACTTTTTCCAACCTGTCTAAGAAGTGTTTCTTGCCTGATTTTTACAAACTTGTGTTTGGGAGTCGATGGGTGATTTTTAATATCACCTCGTAGAATTTCACGGTGAAATAGAGATCGCTTCTTTTGCACGTTGGTATTCATTAATCATAAAAAAAATCAACATGAAATGACAATTTGAAATCGGCCAGTGACTCACCTTAATACTTAGTTCAGCCAAATTTTCTTTAATTTTATATATTTCTGCGAGCTTCTATTTTTATAAAAATTGTAAGGACATAATATTTAAAACAATTAACTAAAATATATTTAGTACTTTACTTTGTATTGAAGTCTCTTTAACATTTAATGTTTAATTTATGAATTTGGAAATCATATCAATAGTATAAAGTAATTTTTATTGTGGTCTCAAAACTCTTGCTTTGTTTTATGTAATAAATCAGGGCGTAAACAAATCATTTAGAAATTTTATACTTATTCCAAAATTTATTTTCCTGCCTAGTAAAAAAATATTATAAAAATAAAATGAAGCAAGTTTTTATTTACTAATCTAATTTTGGGTTGTAGTTTAAAAAGATTCAAAATCCACTTTTATCCGTCACCTTAATTTTATTCAGTATAGCTTTAAGTATCAACTGTCATTTAAGTTTTATAATTAGTATAATGATTTAATTGTTTCAACTTGATAAAACTAATTTTTTTGAGTATTTTGAATAAATTATTCATTAAGGGTTTTTATTATTTTATTTTTATTAATTAGATGGGTGTGCAATGTGTGTGATGATTGAAATCGTATCCCATTGCCTGAAAATTGTGGATTGCTGTTTTCTTTTTTTTCTATACTACCGACTAACCCATGCTTAAAATTTCAACAAAACAAATCTAAATTTGTTTATTTTGTATTTGTTTTGAAACGAAAATTTTTTTCCTTGTGCTGCTTAACATTGGGATTTAGGGAGTATGCCTGTATGTACAGAGAATAGAGGGGAGTTTCTAGAAAAACTACAGCGAGCTAGATCGCAAGTGAAACCTAATGCACATAGCACACCAATCCTTTCACGCCCAGGGTCCACCCGTATCGTTGTAGGAAATTGGGCTTTATCGTCTCGTAAGGAGTGCGAACTGCATATTCATAATTCAGACGGGCAACAGGTAATTTTATATTACTCAGCTAGGCTAAATATTAGGTTTTGGTTTAATCATCGAGTTTTTACACGACGTTTAAATTTTCAGCAAGCTACGATCTTGCGCGAAGACCTTGCCGGTTTCGTTTTTGAGTCAAATCGCGGCACAAAACATTCATTTACGGCTGAGACCGTTCTCGGAGCGGAATTTGCAGCAGGGTGGACAGGAAAACGAGGCAAACGGCTCAGATCGAAAATGGAAGCGTTAAGACATAAAGTATTGTCATTTTTAAAAAAAACCCACAAAAAAACTAATATATAACAGCTATTCAATAATCAACTATTACTTTTCAGGTGAAAACACAATCTCAGGAAATTTACGATAAATACTTTAGGGCTGCCCAAGCTCAACCGAGGAGCGTTGTAGCTAAACTTGGTGCTATAGTTGCTCAACTGGAGAGAGCTGTTGAAAAACAGGTTTGTTTTTTTTAAATAATTTTTATAAACACATTAATAACGAGGTTTGTTTTAGATGTGGTCAACTGGAGCAAACAGAGATGCTAGCCTGGCTGAAGCAATAACTAATTTAAGTGAAGTATTGGAACAGCAGGTGTCCGCCTATGAAGTACAAAGCAGTGGTTTAGTGCAGGCACTATTATCACTATTTACTAATTACAAGTACACTGTAAATTTGTTCAAGGTATTTTTTAAATATTTATTTTTAAAAAATTTATGTTATTGATAAAAGTTTAATTTTTTTTTGTATTTTATAGCAAAAAGGGCACGATGGAGGAAACCAAAGAGCGGCTGTGATTCTTGTTCATAAACTTGTGGCTGTATTAGAATCTATAGAAAAACTGCCCATTTATCAATACGAATCTCCTGGAACTTGTTTTGGCTTGCAGGTTATTATAATAATTTTTCCGACGATCGTTTAAACATTTTTAACTTTCGACGGGCTATTTTCATTTGGCTATTATTTTTTTCCTTTTCAGATTTTAACTAGAAGATTAAGATTTAGGTTAGAAAAATTTACCGGCGAAAGTAGCCTGATAGACAGAACAGGCCGAAGCTTAAAAATGGAGCCGTTGGCTACTGTAGCCCAGTTAGAGAACTACCTGCTGAAAATGGTTGCGAAACAATGGTACGACTATGACAGGTCGACTTTCGCTTTCGTACGCGCACTCGAAGAGCCGTTCGTTCGACTCATGTTCCGACACCAACACGACTTTGATGAAAACGGCATTATTTACTGGATTGGAACAAACGCAAAGTATGATTTATTTATTTTTTTTTTTTTTTAATTTGTTTGACTTTTTGTTTTGTTTTTATAGGACTGCTGAATGGGTCAATCCAGCTCAATATGGATTGGTCGTTGTGACTTCCTCAGACGGAAGGAACCTTCCGTACGGCCGCCTAGAAGATATTCTAAGCAGGGACATGTCTGCTCTTAATTGCCACACCAATGATGATAAAAGAGCATGGTTTAGCATAGATCTTGGTGTATGGGTTGTTCCTTCCTGCTACACCCTCAGACACGCCAGGGGATACGGAAGATCCGCTTTAAGAAACTGGCTTTTCCAGGTAAATAACTTTATATTAACTTAGTGTTGAACAAGGTTATATGAAAACTCCTCTTAGGGTTCAAAAGACGGTATAAATTGGACTACTTTGTACACCCACGTTGATGACACGTCTTTGAACGATCCTGGAAGCTGTGCCAGCTGGCCATTAGAAGGAAACAACGACGAGCCGATCCGTCATGTCAGGATCCAACAAGCCGGAAAGAACGCCTCAGGTCAAACCCACTATCTCTCACTGTCCGGCTTTGAAATTTATGGCGCCGTCGTCGGAGTCTGCGACGATCTCGGTTAGTATTTGACAATCAATAAAATATTTTTTTTTTAAATCTCGAATTGATTGTTTGATTTTAAAAGGTAAAGTGGCCAAAGAAGCCGAAGCAAGCTTGAGAAAGCAAAGGAGAATCATGAGGACTCAGGTGCTCAAGCAGATGGTCATCGGAGCGAGAGTTTGCCGCGGGATCGACTGGAAATGGAGGGATCAGGATGGCAATCCTCCTGGACAAGGCACCGTCACAGGGGAACTTCACAATGGTAAATTTATTTATAAAAAATGCCCTTTAAAAGAAAAAAAATTAATAAATTTTGATGTAGGTTGGATAGATGTTGCTTGGGACAACGGTGGCTCTAATTCTTATCGGATGGGCGCTGAGGGTAAATTTGACCTAAAGCTTGCAAGCGAACCAGATACTTCAGGAACCAAACCCACTTCTCCTTCAAGTAAATATTTCATAAAAATATTAATTTAACAAATCAATTGTCATTTATGATTTTTTTAAAGTATTTTTTTATTTTTTTTATTACAATATGAGTGAAAAATGAATTGTTGTAAAATAATAAATTTGATTTATTTATAGACAAATCTAGAGCGAACTCGGATGGAGCTGTTTTGAGTAAATCTAGCTCAACTCCAAGCCTTGCCGATAACGCTGACGCACAAGGGAAAATGTCTGTAGCCAGTACTGATCAGGCAACGTCCGCCGATAATCTTGCCGCAAAAGTGAGTTTTGGTTTTTCTATTTGATTTTTCAGCGTTCAATAATGTTATTGTACCGATTCAGCAAGCTGCTGCTGCTCTGACCGAGAGCGTAATGTCGATGGCGAGGGCAAGCGCACTCGGCGCTACAGGCGAATTGGTCACTTCCGATCTCGCAACTATCGTCGAGTCCCTTCCGATACACGGTAAAAAGTTATATAACATTGGGATTTTGGTTCTGATGTATTTAATCGTGAATTTTAAATTTATGCGCAGAAAATGAAGCTGGCAACAATATGGGGAAGAAGGCGGGAGAAAAATCAGGGCTTAATGTTGAACCGTGTGTTGCCAAAACAAACCACCATCACAATAACACATCCTCACTTCCTTTATTTTGCAAAGGATACATACAACCTGCTAAAATCAACAAGGTAAGTTGCTCTCTGTTTATTTATTTATTTATTTATTTTTTTTCAACAAAATATAGCAATTAAATGATTTTGGGGTGTCGGTGGCTGCAACGGTTTAAAGCCCGTTTACACGCTCATGCAATTTGCACAAGTTGATTTGTGCAAGCAAACTTGCAACTAAATGGGCTGTTCAAACATTCAAACAGAAGTTTAAAAAGTTGAAACGAAATGAAAAATGAAGGTTGAAAAGTCATGAAGTACTTCATTGGCATCAGATTCCATGCCAGATCCGTATTCGACTATGGGGCTATTTTTTATGGAGCAGCTTCCCAATCGCTGTTAAAGAAAATTGATAACTTCGGAACTTCAGAATGCATGTATAAGGCAAATTCTTGGAGGTCTACCAAGCACCCCCATAATTGCGTTAGAAGCCGAAGCCTGTGAGCCCCCTCTGGAAATGAGACGCTTAAAATAGCGTTCAACTTCCTTATCAAACATTTTGTCAGGAAAGTCCTATATTTAATAAAATAGTTGCACTCACTGAAAAAGTTCTAACCTCAGCCTTTTACCAAAAAAGAAATCCCCCACCCTGGAGTCAGCCTTCCTCCAGTCGATTCCTTACATCTCCTCCCTTTTTAAAAGCCCTTTGGACCCCATGTATCAGATGGAGTACAAGGTACTAATTAACAATTTTGACACAACATTTTTTAAAGATTATTCCCAGCTCGATCCTCATATTGCTCAAAAAGAATTCCTAGCCGGCATTAACAAGATATATCCAGAATATTTGTACATATTTACTGACGACTCTTCCATAGATGGCAAAACAGGTTATGCCCTTTTTGACCCTAAACATCAATACAAGGAACAAAATTCGCTTCCAACTTCAATGTCTGTTTATACAGCAGAACTAATTGCGATAGATAGCGCTCTCGATTACATACAAAAATTGGGCGATTCTAAATTTTGTATTCTCACAGAATGTCAAAGCATTGTAAAAAGGTTAAATAACATTACCCCAGAATATAAATGCAGAAACTATATTTTTGCCCAAATCTGTAGGAAAATGCTAGAGACAAAAATCATGGGAAAAATGGTGGCAATGTGTTGGGTGAAAGGGCATGCAGGCTTATGGCAAAATGAAATGCACTTGCAAAGGAGGCTGCAACATCAGGTCCAATCTTTGACATTAAAATTCCTAAAGATGACGGGAAAAACTTTTTGAAAAAGTTTTGTAGAAATCTGTGGCAAGAAAAATACAACACATCAAATGTCGACAATTATTACAGGTCTCTGAGTCCTCGACCAAACAATTCTGAGATTTTCCAAAAGGAAACAAGAACCGGGAAAAGAAACATCAAACAACACACGTAAAGTACAAAATATAATGTGGCCTTATGAAATCAGATAAAACAAGCTATATTTACAATAAATGCCGTGGAAGAAACAAAAAAAAGTCAGTTAAAAAAAAATAAAAATTTCCTCTACGGAAAAACAACACAATTTCAACTTAGATAAATCAACTCAATACAAATACTATTTGCAAATACACTTAATTGAACAAGGAGCGGGCTCCCAGAAAGAACGTGGATCTAGGAATTAACAAAAATAAGGAATAGGCTCACCGTTGTTGACTCCAGTGTCTCCAGCCACCTTTCCCCGTTTTTCTTACCACTCCTCAGGGAAGACGGTCCCCACCAGGGTTGTTTGTATACGAAACAAGCAAAATTTATGCATTAATTAATTTTGCAACCTTACAATTTTATATAACTGTAAATTCTCAGAGAAACTCATTCTCTTTTTCCACCATTTCAACAAAAAAACAAAGCAGGGCGTCAGAAAGTTCATTAAGGTGATCAAACCAGCAGAATCAAAATGGCTATTCTCTATGTCAAGGAAGGGAATTAAGAGGCTGATACCAAATGACACGGGCCATTGCCCACTGAGAAGACACCTCTCCGTAATGGGTATTCTACCAGATCCCTTTTGCCATTTTTGCAAAATAAAAGAAGAAATGGCAAGGCACTACCTCACAGAGTGTGATAGGTATGCTAGGTCTAGATTTGAAATCTTTGAAGGAGGGGACATCACCAAATCACTCCCTGAGATAAAATGGTCCAAAATCTTGGGGTTTGTGAACAAGTCCAAGAGATTTATGCAGGACACATGAGCTGACCCCAGACTTTTTAGGGATGGAGTACGAATCTACCCAGGCATTTAACCCCTCAGGTCTTGGTCGCCCACCCTGCGTAATATATAGGGCGTCAGAAATAACCAATAACAACCACAATCTATAATAATTATTATAGACAAACAGCTGATAACAAATCTGCTGTTCCTTGATTACAACTGTCACCAATGTGCAGGCATTAGACTGGAAAGAACTGCACCAACTTCATGCAATTTTTCTAGAAGGACAGATTTTATTCAAGCCAAACTTAGTCGTGCTTGCACAAGTCAATTGGCGCAAATTGCATAAGCGTGTAAACGGGCCTTTAGGCATTGACACAGTGCTCATCCCTGTAAGGTAAAGGTCCTGGGTTCGAGTCAGCAGCCCTGCATTTGAACCTGCAACTTTACTAATGGGCTTTTTTTCAAACACTGGCACCCCAGGGTTCATATAACCTCATAGTTGAAACACCCTCGTTAAAAAAAAAGGTCTCATGTTTACATTTGTTTATATTTCAGTTGACCGGTTGCTGTGAAGACAATACCGAAAAGGGGTCGGATATTCTCAGAAATAACACCAATAACTTCCTTTCTGGGGACTTACTTCCAGCGTCTTTGCTCGTCGGCACTTCAGCCGCAGGTAATATATCACGCGTTTTCTTTTAGGATCAAAGCTGAAGAAAATAAAAAACAAAACCAAACAAAACTATAGAAACCTGTAGGTTACAAAAGCCAAAAGTGTAATCACTTTTCACAACACACCCACCAAAAAGAGAAAAGAAAAGAAACTGTAAAACATAAAGCATGAGGTTTTTGTTTCCGCCTACGACAATAACGGGTTTTGCATTTTAATTTTGGTCAATATGTTTTGTCCTCCAATAACTCTTTTCTTTTATTTTGACTAACGCATTGTTTGAAGTTTGGTAAAATTTTGAGAGACGAGTAGAGATTGATGTAGATCTTTGCTAGCTTTCTAACAAGAAAGTTGTGTGAATAAATCCTTTTATTCTAGGAATAGTCTCTAATGCTCTGCAGCAATCAGTTAAAATAAATGTTTCAAGTGGCAATGATCTGATGGAACATAAGGATGATAAAAACACTCGTTATAAGATCAAACAGCCATTCTCAGAAAGTGAGTTCAATTCACGCTTGCATATTTCTCAAAGTGTTTGGGGAGCAAGTTTATTGTAGATTTTATTGTTTAATTTTTTCATTTCTAGCCCTTTACTGATTTACGATTCTTTTTAATTTTATAGATTTTTATTGTGGTTTTGTTTTGAAATTTCACTGCTTAATTTTTTTTATGTTTCTCTGTTTTTTATTGAGTGTTGCGGAGGATACAAAACATAGAATGAAAATTGTTTTTTTATTTTAAATTTTTTGTTTATGTTTTGATTTAAACCCAAACTTGAAATGATTTTTTTTCTTAAACATTTCCCTTTTATTTGTAATTTATGGTTTATTTTATAGTGACTTGTAAGAAAGATAAATGTGAAAGCAAAGATAAGGCAAATCCAATGAGTATATCTGTTCCCAATCTTACCTGTACAGCAAATTCTGCTCCTCTTGAGCAAGGTAACTATAATTTAAGCTGACTTGTTTTATATTTGCTTTAAACCAATGTGTTTGACCTTTATAAATTTTAGTTTTTTTTATAATTTACTATCCTTATTGTTTTTGTATGTATAAAGAAACGTCAATAAGCATGATAGTTGTGTAAAAACAATTTTAATATAGGATTAGAGTAGTTTTGAGTGTTGAACGATTACTGAACGAGATGATCCTCTTTGTCTTTCTCAGGCCTTGGAACAGGTTTGCTCGAAACGTTCACTTCGATGGCAAGAAGGAAGCCGAACGTTGGCAACTCGACGGCAAATAATGCAGTTAACTCTAATTCAAATTCAAACCCAGTTGCCAGCTTTTTTCCAAGGGGGCCTAGCTCTGTTTCAAGCCTTGTCCGTCTGGCCCTGTCATCCAACTTTCCAGGTAAGCCCACGAACAATTATAATCTCAACAAATCAAAAGTTAGCGTTTTATTCTTTAAAGATATAAAAGGTTAAATTATGATTTTTAAAAATTTATTATTAGGCCGAGGAGAAGTGATAAGATGCAGTAAGCGTTTTTTTTAAGGAAGGGTGGGTGAAAAAAAAATCAGGGCGACGATAGGAATCAAACCCCTGATCGCACATCCTATGAGCTGAGGGTCAAATTATATTTTTTATAAACTACTTCTTTGTGTTTAAAGTAAAACTGCAATACTTCTCAATTTTATTGTTTCATTTTTATAAAAATAAACTGTTCTTTTTGAAGAAAAAATTGTCCAATTGCTCACGAGGGGCAATAGGAAAAATAAACTAATATTAATTTTTTTCAAGATTTCTTTGTTTTGAGTAATATTTTCTAGGTCTTATTTTAACTTTGGTTATTATAATGATAATTTAATTTCAAAGTGACGGCCTCATTGTTGCTCACCACACTGTTTAATTCAAAATATTTAGTTTCATTAAATTAACTGTCTATACTTCTATTATAATGTGCTGTATATTTTTTTTCTACATTATCTGGTAAGTAAAAAATGCCTAAAAGTTATAAAATGTATGTGTCCTATACAGTCCACATACACGAGTGATTTTCGAGGGTTACTTTTACTATTGTAGAATCGCTTATTTTGTCCTTTTTCCTCCCCGTTTGGTGGGCGGGGCGTTTAAAATTAAATGAAATTAATTGAATAAACAGATAAACGGTAAAGTGTGGCTTTTATGCTAGCATGAAGCATGCATAAAATGTCAGCATGTACTAATAGAACACATAAGCAACACGATATATTTTCATAAAAAGCACACAAAAAAAAACCTACTGGTTTCTTATATATATATTTTTTTTAAGTAAGCGTTTAATTGTAAAAGCTAGTTATTATTTTATATTTATAGCTAAAGTATAAGTGTTATTTTTCCCAGGTGGCTTGTTAAGTACAGCACAGAGTTATCCTTCGTTAACTACCGGAGGGAATGCTGGACCTGGGGGGCCACAGTGTCAAGCCCTCACAATGAGCCTTACGTCTACATCGAGCGACAGCGAGCAAGTCAGCCTCGAGGTAAAATTTTTTGAAAAATTACCGTTAGCATCTACTCACCAGTTTTTGGTCCAGGACTTCTTGGAAAGCTGCCGGGCTCCGACTTTGTTAGCCGAGCTTGACGACGACGACATCCCCGATGAGGAGGAGAACGACGATGACGAGAACGAGGACGACGAGGACTACGGAGAGGTTATGGTCAGCACCAACTTGTTAACATTCATGGTAACACCATTTTACTCTCAAACACTTAAGGTCTGAAGCGTGTTTTGACGATTAGCGTTATTTAGCCAAACGGTAGATAACGCCAATTCGGTGTTGAAAATAAAAAGGAACGTTTGCTACAGACCAAAATTTTCAAAAAAATCAGTACACGTTAACCACTTTTTAAATCAGCTCCAGAAATTTTTGTAAGTAATTAAAATAACGTTTGATATATTAATCGCCATATGTAAAGAACTTCCTTGTTACATTTGTGCTATCTAAACATGCATATTATGCACAGTGCTTACACCTTTCCTCTTATTTTGCAATTACACTAATGGGACAATTTGGTAGATGGCTTTGCTTTCCTTTTTTAAAAAGATTATTGACTTTTCAAAGGGTTTTATAGAAATATCTAGTGTGATTTGCCCAAAATGCCAAATTTCTGATCATCCTGATCTGCTACGCTCAACAAGGTGGTTAGTTTAAATGCTTTCAGTCACGGGAAACTCAAAAATTCAGAACATGTTAATATTTGCACTTTTTACAAAAATTGAGCTCTGAAACCAAGAAATCATCGTGGAGCGGCACCCTATAGATTTTAATAAGCTTTCAATTGGTCACCTTCCATTTTGGCCGATTTCTCAACCGTTTTCGATTTTTGGGCAAATGTTGGGGCCCCATCCCCCTTCTGTACGAGTTCTTTTTTTTATGGACCAGTGCTATAGAATTTTTACTTTTTGCAAATATAAATTTTTTTCAATTCATTATTAAACTTTTTCCAATTTTAATTTTGACTTTTCCAATTATTGTTCCACTGTATCCATTTTAATTTAGGTTTTTCCAATTTTTTCCATTTTAATGTTGCCTTTTCCATGTATTATTAAATTTTTTCGTTTTAATTTGACTTTTCTAGCTAATATTAAACTTTTTCATTTATTGTTCAACTTTGTCCATTTTAATTTTGACCTTTCCATTTATTATTCAACTTTTTCCATTTTAATTTTTACTTTTCCAATTAATATTAAACTTTTTCCAATTTACTTTTGATGTTTCCAATTATTATTCAATTTTTCCATTTTAATTTTGACTTTTTCCATTTTGATTTCAACTTTTCCATTTATTTTTTTACTTTTTCTATTAAAGTTTAAACGAATTTGGAATCGGTTTAAATATTTTCAAAAGGTTGAAATTGAATATTGTTACAATAGACCACCACCAAGAAATTATATAATATTTATGATATTCTTCATATCGTAAGTAAATAAATAAAAAAGTCAGTGATCTTTCTTTACCGCCAAGTTTAAAATTGCATGGTTCACATTATGTGAAGTTCCTTTTTTTAGATGGGGAAAAAACACTATTCACACTATATTCCAGAACAATGGTTTTGGGTTTTGAAGCAGTGTAAGAAAGTTGTTGACTTTTTGTCTTACCAATAGGAGGAGGAAGGATACGATGGGAGAAACATATCGATGAACAGCAGCAAGAGAAGGTCCTGGGACGATGAATACGTCCTCAAAGGTCATTTCTCAGCACTCATACCAGCATTTGATCCCCGTCCAGGCAGAGTGAACGTCAACCAAACGACCGACCTCGAGATCTCGCCTCCCGGAACGGAGCAGTCCCAATCATCGCCGATAATCGAGACAACACACCAGCCCAAGATACAGCTTTTCATTCGAGGACCGAATATTCCAGGCGTAAGTTGGTAATTTTTCATTTTCATCTTATTATTTTAAAAAAATACTTTTTTTTTAAAGGTACAAGATGTTGAAGTTGAGCTGACTAATCCTGAATGGACTATTTTCCGTGCAGTCCAGGCACTCATTCAGCAAACTGATCTTGGCACAAGGCAGGATAAAATGCGAAGAGTTTGGGAACCGACTTACACGTAAGTGGTTTTTTTAAAACATAATATGCAAAAATTATATTTTATTTTCTGTTATAGTATTGTTTATCGTGAAGTAAGAGAGGATTATATTAGTGAGAAAGAAGGCGGTGATAACACTCCAGTTGTACCTCTTTCAAAACGGAGGAGTTGGCTCAGCCCGTGCTCACCTTCAACTCCGACGCCGACTCCGACTCACACTTCGTCATCTTGCACAGTCGATCAAGTCCTTGATTTACTTAAACATCTTTATGTTCTAACTCACCACAAAGAAGAATTTCATTTCCATGGTAGGTTTTTTCCTGAAACACTCATATATTATGGTAAACCGTTATGAAGACGAAATTCATGACAATTTGGTATTCATGGGTTGTACTCAAACCTAGTTTTTTAATTGAGCAATGTGGCAATTTTCTTTTTTCTTTGTACACATAAGAAAGTACTTCATTTGATATTTTGTGAAAAGTTTGTTGTAATTAATGATATTATATTTTAAGATGACAACGAAGAGAGAGCAATGAACATGACAAGGGAGGATATGCATAGTAAGAAGCTAACCAATAAACTTCTACAGCAGTTGCAAGATCCGCTCGTTCTGAGTGCCGGAGCTTTGCCTTGCTGGTGTGAACATCTGTCGCAGGAGTTTCCTTTCTTGTTCCCCTTCGAGACCCGACACTTATATTTCACGTGCACCGCTTTCGGCCCTTCGAGATCCATCGTGTGGCTTCAGAGCCAGAGGGATGTCAACATCGAGAGGCAGAGGACGCCCGGCCTGAGCCCGAGGCGAGACGACCCGCATGAATACCGCGTCGGAAGGCTTAAACACGAAAGGGTCAAGGTGCCGAGAGAAGGCAACCTTCTTGCCTGGGCCCACCAGGTTCTGTCGGTTCATGCGTCGAGGAAGTCAATACTCGAAGTCGAGTTCCAAGGTGAAGAAGGAACCGGCCTCGGCCCTACGCTGGAATTCTATGCTTTAGTCGCAGCCGAATTGCAGAGGAAAGATCTTGGCATATGGTTATGCGAAGATGAAATACCAACATCTTCTCTGCAGATTGATATTGGAGAAGGAATAAAACCAGCTGGATATTATGTTAGAAGGCATAATGGACTTTTCCCCGCACCTTTACCTCAAGTAAGTGTAACAATTGATCAAGTAGTTTGGTCATTTCTTATCATTTTTTTTGCAAATAATATTCTCGAAACTTGTTTAAGGGGGTTATTTTTGGCGTCAAATAAATGTCACAGGCCTTAGTGTCACTGTTGGGGTTTGGGTGACCGGTTCCAATTTTTTTGTAAGAAATTTGGGCGGTAAACCTTTCCCCGGCGGTTGCTGGAACTATAGATTCAGAATGTCCTTTGTTAATGAATTACAAAAACAAAAAAAATTGTTTGCGTTGGTTTACAAATAAAGTGTGTATTAAGAAAAAAAAAGATTTGTGTACAAAATAATTAATAAACAATATTACTTCTCAGTTAAAATTATAATAAAACAAAACAAACTCTTTCAGTTACTTTCTGATCAAAAAATAAATAAATAAAAATAAAAATAAAAAAATAAAACAAGGCAAAATAAACTCTAAAGTCTTTCCGGATTAATCAAGAAGATGCGTGCGAGCGGACGTGTGTAAATCTTAAAAGGACGCTGGATCACAACTAACTCAATCCCGTGCCCAATCGCTTGCACATTCACAGTTCGGACCCATGTTTACAGCCCGAGCATTAACAGTTCATAAACACAGCGTTCTTATAGCGTTCTGGCCGCTTTTCCATCTTTTGACATTTTTAAATTAAAACGAACTACTATGATTTATTAAATAATTAAAAATGACCGTAAAAAATAATAAAATGAATGAACTTATTCAAACCCGAACAGTCACTATGTCAACACTACTTTGAACTAACTAACTTAAAGATTTGGAAATTTGTTACAATTTTTTTAAGACAAAACATTTTCTTTAATCAAAATTTTTTCTGTGTCTCAGGAGAGGTTTTACAAATCAGTGTGATAACATAAGTGTTGATATTATCACATTTGAAGAAACCTGCTTTTCGAAGCTTGTTTTAGGGTGTCGGAGAAGTTTTAGAATGAAATCGCTGTCCCAGGTCTTTCTATTGCTTTGTCGACATTACTTGAAGTCCGTTGCTAGATTTGACCTTTTGGCAAATTTTACAATTTTTTGAAGAAAAAACATTTTTTAAATCAAAATTTTTTCTGTGTCTCAGGAGAGTCTTTACAAATCAGTGTGATAACAAAAGTGTTCATATTATCACATTTGTTACGGCTTTTGTTCTGAAACAATGCACTAAACCCTCCCCATGTTCAGGTGACATTTCAGAGTGGAGATAGTTAAAATTTCCTATTGATTGCTAAAGGGTGCCGCTCAAGGACAATTTCCTAGCGCCAATTTGAAATTTTCGTTAAAAGTGGAATTGTTAAATTTGGCCCTGAAGATGATCTCAAAGATCGAAACGTTGGCACGATAAAGAAAATGTTTTTCTGAAACCTACATCACACCAGACCGCATCTCACGATATCTGAATAACTATTGTTAAATTTACTGATGAATGACTAAAGCTAGGAAAACATTTAAAAAAAGCCATCTTATTCAGTTAAAACTTTGTAAAAAATTATACCTAGCGCAGATCTGTGACTTAAAATATGAGAAAATATGCATTTTCTAAGTTGACCATTTTTTCATGCAAAAACCAGGAGGTCGGGTTTTTTTTTAAGGACCAGTGCTATAGAAGTTTTACTTTTTGCAAATATAAATTTTTTTAAATTCATATTATTAAACTTTTTCAAATTTTAATTTTGACTTTTCCAATTATTGTTCCACTGTATCCTTTTTAATTTAGATTTTTCCAACTTCCCATTTTAATTTTGCCTTTTCCATTTATTATTAAATTTTTTAAATTTTAATTTGACTTTTCCAGTTAATATTAAACTTTTTTGTTTATTATTCAACTTTTTCCATTTTAATTTTGGTTTTCCCATTTATTATTCAACTTTTTCCATTTTAATTTTTACTTTTCCAATTAATATTCAACTTTTTCCAATTTAGTTTTGATGTTTCCAATTATTATTGAATTTTTGCATTTTAATTTTGCCTTTTCCAATTATTGTTCCACTGTATCCATTTTAATTTAGATTTTTCCAACTTTTTCCATTTTAATTTTGCCTTTTCCATTTTATTATTCAATTTTTTCATTTTAATTTGACTTTTCCAGCTAATATTAAACGTTTTCATTTATTGTTCAACTTAGTCCATTTTAATTTTGACCTTTCCATTTATTATTCAACTTTTTCCATTTTAATTTTTACTTTTCCAGTTAATATTCAACTTTTTTCAATTTAGTTTTTTTTTTTTAATTTTTAAACAAAATTTTTTTCTGTGTCTCAGGAGAGTCTTTACAAATCAGTGCGATAACAAAAATGTTTATTTTATCACATTTGTTATGGGTGTTGTTCTGAAATGACGTGCTAAACCCTCCTCATTTACGGGCGTAATTTCAGAATGGAGCACATCTTCCAGAAAACCTGATTTTCGAAGCTTGTTGTAGGGTGTCAGAGGTATTTTCGGAATGAAATCGCTCTCCCAGGTCTTTCTATTGCTTTGTCAACATTACTTGAAGTCTGTTGTTCGATTTGATGTTTTGGAAATTTTTTACAATTTTTGAAGAAAAAACATTTTCTTTACTCAAAATTGTTTCTGTGTCTCAGGAGAGTCTTTACAAATCAGAGCGATAACGAAAGTGTTTAATTTTACCACATTTGTTACGGCTGTTGTTCTGAAATGACATACTAAACCCTCCCCATGTTCGGGCATCATTTCAGAATGGAGCACATCTTCCCTGAAAACCTGCGTTTCGAAGATTGTTGTAGGGTGTCAGAGATATTTTCAGAATGAAATAGATTTTGCAGTCCTTTCTATCACTTTGTCAACATTACTTGAAGTCTGTTGTTCGATTTGACGATTTCGAAATTTTTTACAATATTTTGAAGATAAAAACCTTTTTGATGGTGACAAAGAGATCGAAATGTTTTCTGTGTCTCATGATGATGAACATCTAGAAAACCTGCGTTTCGAAGATTGTTGTAGGGTGTTGGAGATATTTTCTGTATTGAATCGCTGTCCCAGGTCTTTCTATCGCTTTGTCAATATTACTTGAAGTTCGTTATTCGATTTGAAGTTTTGGAAAAATTTTACAAATTTGTTTTAATCAAAAGTTTTTCTGTATCTCTGGGTGATCTTAACAAATCAGTGCCATAATGAATTATTGATATTAACACATTTGTTATGGTTGTTCTTCTGAAACCATACACTAAACACTCTGCGTATAAATTTAAATTGGGGTCGCAGATCTTTAATATTGCATTAGTGACGTTACTGTGAAAATTGTGTTTCGATGTGACCGTTTTTATATTTTTTGTAACACAAATTTTTTTCAATCGTCATTTTTGCCACAACTTTGGAGTCTTAATAAATCAGTGTTATAACGACCCTGTGAAAATAATGTTTGTGTCCTTTCAGGATTCACCTCAATGTGAGAGGGCTGAGAAACACTTTTGGTTCCTGGGCGTGTTTTTGGCGAAAGTGCTTCAAGACAATCGCTTAGTAGATCTGCCTCTTTCGCACCAATTTCTCAAGCTTCTCTGCCAGGGAGACAGGATGCATTCGCTCGCCGACAAGTACGTATCTTTTCATTTTCCGCTCACATTTTGATTTGTTTTGAAAACACAAAAGTGCATTTTCACACAAATTTAAACTCCAGTAAAATTTCTTATTCAAGACTGAACGGCCTGACGAGAACCAAAAGCGGCGACGACGACCTTATGCTCTCGTCTATAATCTCGGACTTGAGCGAGAAAGAACTTGAATTCGATCCGCCAAAGATTAGCCCACCCAAGCCAAAACCATGGTAAACACGCATCTTGTTTTATTCAAAAATAAATAATATACAACGTATGAATTTCAGGTTGAGTGGAATGTTGTCGTTGGACGATTTACGTGAAATCGACCCTGTTAAAGGGAGATTCTTGTTTGAAATGAGAGAATTAGCAGCCCGGAAGAATCGTATCGCCATGGACAACACATTAAGCGCCGAGGCAAAGGCTCACCAAATACAAAATCTTTCGTATATATCCTGTTCGGCTGCTGGACAGCCGGTCCGCTTAGAAGATCTCGCAATCACTTTCACATACCTCCCGTCTTCAAACGTTTTCGGTTATGTCGCTGCCGATCTAACACCAAATGGATCAGACATAGAGGTAAGCTTTACAAAAATTATATCAGTACTTTACGATCGACCCAAGTTGGTGGCGTTTCTGCTTATCAGGAAGTTGTAAATTGATAAAAAAATATTTTCGTATTCCGCTCAGGTTACAATGGAAAACATCGAAGAGTACGTTGAACTCACTACAGAATTCTGCTTAGAGCGTGGTATCGCAAGACAGATGGAAGCTTTCAAAGATGGTTTCTCGCGTGTCTTCCCAATTGAAAAATTGAGGTCTTTTACGCCGCAAGAAGTTCGGTTGATGTTATGCGGTGATCAGAACCCACAATGGACAAGAGAGGACTTACTTAATTACACCGAGCCTAAACTTGGTTACACCAGAGAAAGGTTTATTTATTATGTATTATTTCAATATAATTTATTTATTTAATCCATTTATGTTTAGTGGTCTAATTGACTAATTATTTCAATTAATTATTCTTTTTATATTAGGTCTTGGTTGAGATGAAAAGCCCAGCCAAAGATCATGGGTTCAAATCACGCTCGTGACACTAGATTTTTCCTCAATCAAGACCTTAAAAAAAGAATAATTTATATATTTTAACTAAATTTTTATTTTTCAGTGCTGGATTCTTGAGATTTGTCAACGTTTTGCTGAGCATGAGTGGAGAAGAGAGAAAGGCTTTCCTCCAGTTCACAACCGGCTGTTCGTCCCTGCCTCCAGGAGGTTTGGGCAATTTACAGCCCAGGCTCACGATCGTGAGAAAGGTCGATGCCGGAGAGGGCAGCTATCCGTCTGTCAACACTTGTGTCCATTATTTGAAATTGCCCGACTACCCGACCGAAGAAATACTTAAAGAAAGACTTCTCACAGCAACGAGGGAAAAAGGTTTCCATCTTAACTAAAACGGGGGAGGAAAAAAAAGTGAAAAAGAAAAAAAAACATGTTTTATACAATTATTGTTGATTTATAGTGTTGTGTACCTGACTGAATCTCTAAGATTGATTTCTCTTTTTTATTTGAATAAATTTGATTAACTTTAACACAATTTTATCTATAATGTATAATATAAAAGTTTGGTTATGGTACAATAAGAATTCAATTTATGTAGAAATTTAAATGAAATATACATTGTAATATATAACTATTTGCTACTAAGTATACAAATGAAATTTAATAAATTTAAACAAAATTTCTCCAAAAGAGATGTATGTATTTAAAATAAAATGAATTGCTGCTAAATTATCATTTTAATTGGCTTAGCGGTGCTTCATATATTTAGCTAGTCCTAAAACAGTTGTAAAATCTTTAGTAAACAAAAAAAAAGTGAAAAATTTATTATTTATTACTGGGATTTCATTAAAAACAAATCCTTGTGCCTTACTGCACGTTCAACTAAGACAGTATGGTTAATTAAAAATCTATTATAGCATAACCCTTAATAACATTTTATTTCAGATTACTGTAAATAGAATGTGTTTAAAATAAAATGGAATATATATAAATATATAAATAAATAATTATGTGCAATATTGCACACTACTTGGGTATAAAAAAAATCTTTATCTAGTTTATATGTTCCAAAATGTTTAAGTATTTGTGATCTTCTCTTGGTATGTGATGGGTTAGGCATTAAGATGTTTGACTGGACATAAAAAATAAATATTTTCCAAAGTTAAGTCGTTTTCTTTAATCCCTGACAATAAAATTTAAAAAAAAAAATTATTCATCAGTCATTTCTGTTGCTAAGTATGCAATAAAAATACTAGGAAGTAAATCAACTGCAACTGTCAGATTTGATCTTCTTGCCATCTTCAGTGATGTACGTGCGATTTTTGTTTTTATAGAAAGCTTGTAGTGCTGGGCTTGCGAGCGGATCAAAAAATTAACTCACTTTACTGAGCGAGCAATGAACTTCTTGGAGGGGGGAGTGGTAAAAAATAATGCAAACCCACCAGTGATGCTGACAAGCCAAGACAGGGGCCATGGTAGCCGAGTTGTTAGCGTGAGACTTGGCTTGTAGACCCCGTGGTTATAGGTTCAATTCCCACCGTTATGTAAGTTCGTTTTGCCTAATGTACTGGACTTTAGAAAACAACTTAAATGTACTAATAGATGCGACACATGAATACTTCGGACCTTCTTTAGTGACCGTTAGTCAATGATAATTCAGAAATCGTGAGATGCGGTCTGGTATGTATAAAATAATGGGTGATTTCTATGTTTAAAATGTTTCTTTTGAAATGTATTGTGGCTTTATGTATGTCGTTAATTAACACATATCACACCAGACCGCATCTCACGATTTCTTACAATACTGGCAGCATTCACTCCATCAAACTCCAGGAGAAGGTGATCCACAGGTTGAAGAGATGCCTGAACACAAGAACAAACGGGGTCGGGGTTAATAATGAAACAAAAGGGATATTTCGCCAATTTTCCATGTTGTGTCAGAATTTGGGCAGGGCTGTAGTCCATTTGCAGGTGGCTCTTCTGTAAGCAGCATGAGACCAATGGAAAAAAAATTCCTGGTCAGTCGTCCTTGGATAGTTACTTCATATTTCTTCCCATCCCATGTTACTTACATTGATTCAGCCATCAACAGCAGATAGATTTGAATAAGCAAATGGCAACTCCTCATGTTTTTTTACGAATTTGAACTCTCGGTTGAGTCGAGAGTGTGCGAGTTAAGGATTGTAACCAGTAAAAAAGTCAATGGTCGAGAATCCAACCCGATTACACGACATTTGAAAAATGGCAAAAAGGAGGGAAAATTCAAAAGGTGCGGTGAGATGGGAAGTTGGTGTCCGAGTGGATCGAGGTGACGATAGCTCAAGTGGTAGAGCAGCGGCGTATCAAGCCGAAGATCGTGGGTTCGAATCCCGCTCGTGACACTGACTTTTTTATCTCAACTAAAAACCGTAATTAATTGGTCAAGCGGACCACGAAATTAGTGAATTTAAACGTAAAAATTTTAATTGAATTTTTCGACGTTGATCGACCTGCTGATTCGATTGGAAAAGGAATTAGGCTCGTAGGACACGTAGTTTTCGAGAAAAACGCAAAAAAAAAAAAAAAAACGAAATTTTTTTCATTAACTTTATCCATGTAGATCGACCTGCTGATTCTATTGAAAACGGAATTAGGGTCTTTGGACATGTAGTTTTCGAGAAAAACGCAAAAAATCGAAAAAGTTTTTATTGACTTTTTCGAAGTAAATCGGCTGCTGAGTCGATTGGAAACGGAATTAGCCACGTAGGACACGTAGGTTTCGAAAAAAACAATAAAATCTTTTTAAAAAATTTATTGAATTTTTCGATGTAGATCGACCAGCTGATTCGATTGGAAAAGGAATTAGGCTCGTAGCACACGTAGTTTTCGAGCAAAACACAAAAAACCAAAAAAAAATATCGAAAAAATTTTTATTAACTTTTTCGATGTAGATCGACTTGCTGATTCGATTGGAAAAGGAATTAGGCTCGTAGTACACGTAGTTTTCGAGAAAAACGCAAAAAACAAAAAAAAATCGAAAACAATTTTGTTGGCTTTTTCGATGTAGATGATTGATTTCTAAATTGGACTTTGTGAGTGGTTAGGTAGCGGCGTATTGAGCCAACGGACTTATGTTCAAACCCCGCTCGTATCACTAACTTTTTTCATCTCTACTTAGATAAAAGGTATAATTTATAAAATAAATACGTGTTGCAAAAATGTACAAAAACTGTATAAAACTCAAGAAATATGTAACGTTTGTAAAATGTTCGAAAAAGTAGGTGTTTTAACCAGTTTTTAGATTTTCACCTACTTGGGGAAATGTTAATTATGAGTTGGAGTATTAATGTATTCGGCTATTGCTACTAGATCTCAGATACTAATCTTAGGTATCTTATTCATTCTGCAGATGGCTGCCATCGAAATCACCCAAATTTTTTAGAACATCGCCACAACTAGAAAGTAAAACAAAATGTCTCTTTTCAATTAGCTAATTGTTTAAACAACATTGGACAACTGATGGAAAGTAGGATTCATGTGCGAAATTCAACCATTCGATCAGATTTCTACAAAATATGGAAATGCGGTAATTGTGAGCACCCGTTATATCGTACCTACTCTGGTGATAGATGAAACACCATCAGTAGTATTTCAACCAGATTTTTTTTTGCTTTGTCGGCCAAGCACTCACCACGCCAACCTTGAAATGTGACGTTGGATGCACGATTATAAAACTTCCAAGACTACTGCAATTTTTACTTCTCTTACAATTTAACTGATTTATAAACTTTTACATGTGCAGTTTGAATAATTCTATTTAGAATAATTAATTGATGACTAAAAGGACTCTTGATCTTCTGGTTATCTTAAATACAACTAAATGAGGTCTGAGTATTCGTTCGTTTGATGTGGATAGAATGTCATCCTACTTCTTAAATAATATTACAACAATAAAATCTAATGATTATTTAGAGTTAGTGAGATGCAGTCTGGTGTGATGTAGGTTTAGAAAAACATTTTCTTAATAGAAATGATGAATGATGGAGTGAGTGCGGTGTTCAATCCTTTTTAAAAAAGATAGTTCCTACTCAAAGTAAGTAAAAAACATTTTCTTTATCGTGCAGAGCGCATCTTACAATCTCTAAATGATCATTAATTAACGGTCACTAAATACCACACAAATGAAATTTAATAAATTTCTTTTTATAAATAAAGAGAAAAGACAATTATCGAGGATTTAAATGAAATTTTAATATCTTAACCGTTTGAGCCGACTCGAAGAGCCAGTTTGAGCTTTTGATCCATAATCCAAAATAAATCAATATCCGTATTATATAATAAATGAAAAGTGGTCAATTGACTATTTGCAATGGAATTCATTTAAAAAAAAAAGACCTAGACTTTTTAAACTAATAAATTTCAAAAATGATAAATACCTTTTTCGTGGATGAAAATGTGATGTACAACCGGTGGCCGCCACGAGAGAAAGAGGGCGAATGGCGGGAATATTACTTCCCAGTCCCATCTCCAACTGATAATTATTCATAAAATTTTCTCACAAATTAATTTAAATATTGAAAAATGTTTTAAAATAATATCAACCGAATATTGTAACTAATTTTTTTTAAATTAAGCTCAATTTAAAAAAAAATTTAATCATACTTTAGTACTTTTAGAAGATACTTGTTCAAGCTGGCAGTGATCTGATAGGCCGATGATTCTCCGTTTAGAATTTGAATAATTATTTCAGTTTAAAAATAAATAATTAATTCTAAAATATTCCGTAAGTTTTTGTGTTATTATTTTTAGAAAGTATTTTAAAGAATTTAATATTTTTTATTTACTTGGAAGTGTCCTTGAATCACCGGCCGTTTCCCGCCATTTCCATGGACGATTCAGGCTACAACTGACGGTCGAGACTCGGTTTTTTCATGGTGAGCTTTTATTTCGGAATATTATAATTATTTTCATTAATAAAAGCTGCTTTTTCGTTGAAATCAAAGAAAAATCGTTAATGAAATAATTTATCAATCATCGCCAGTTTTAAATATTGATTTGTTGGATGTATTATTGCAACACAACAAGTCGGTTCAGCCACTCCGGATCGCCTAGTAACTTCGATAAAATTTTATTTTTGATTAGCAACAAATCCAATATTTTTTCAAGAGGAGTAGGTCGTTTTTATGATAATTCATATATAATGAGATTATTTCAATTAATTATACTTTTTACGGACCAATGGTCATTGGTTTGAATCTCGCTCGCAACACTAAAAAAGTTCAATTAATTATGTGTTTTATGTAAGGCCTTGGTGAGATGGAAAAGTTAGTGTTATGAGTGGTTTTCGAACCCACATCCTTTGGCTCAATACGCCACTGCCTTAACCTCTTGAGCTATTGACTCAAGAAGTCATGATAGATCAAGTGGTTAGAGAAATGGCATATTGAGCGGATGGTTGTTGGTTCAAATCCTGCTCACAACACTAAAAAAGTATAATTACTTCAATTAGTTACATGTTGTATCTAAGGCCTTGGTTGAGATGAAAAAGTTAGTGGCGCGAGCAAGTTGGGTTAGAACACAACCTTCAGCCCAATAAGAGTACTGCTCTAACCATTTGAAATATTGACTTACGAAGTCACAATAGCTCAAGTGGTTAGAGCAGTGGTGTATTAAGCTGAAGGTTATGGATCATAACGGTCGATTATGACTGCTAATCATATATGGATTAAAAAATAAAATTAGTGTTTATGGCAGTTCTAATTTATTGATTGAGTTATTAATACTGGGTTTACTCACAGGTAAGGGCAGGGTCATTTTCAAACAAATTGTGCATCTAATTTGCCAATGAATGGCAGTGTTTGATGCATTGCACAAATGATTGACTAGTTTCAAAAATGTTTGAAATCTTTTGTACAGTTTGGGTCGTGTAGGTGCATATTGCACATTATTTTCCATTATTGGCTAGTATTCTTGATGGAATCTTTTAATTGTGTGTCTTGTTTATACATATGTGGAAATATCAGTTATCAAAGTTCTACGCAAGTATTAGAATCCATCCTCAAATAAATTTTTTAATCCAGGGGGGATGATAACTGTTGTTCTTGAATTAGGCTATCATGGCTAAGGGTCACCCTTTTGCCATTCCTTTATTCAAATTCTGAGTTTTCTTTTTCGTTTTCTTGTAACA